ATTATCAAGCAGATTTAATGTACAGTATATGATATATCAAGTGATTAATAGTATAATTAGCATAAAATACAGACCAAATCCACAATCACTTCAAGCGTTAATATTTGTGTATTAATGTCCTGATAGAGAGAAATGAGTGTTAATTGTGTTGTTTTAACACATGTTTACGTAATATTGAGAACCAAATCAATAATTTTCAATATATCAACAGTTAGGTTGACAATGACTGGCTGTTTGTCTGAGCCCACCACGGGTGGGATGTGCTTGCTGTAATTTTGTTTAATAAACAACTGATCGCGCAAACTTTTTACGGATTCGTAATCATCTTTTTTAGATAAATATAAAGGTTAATTCAAATTAAACGAGTAAAATATCAAACAAAATATTTAATTGAACCTGCACACGCGGTGGATATTATAAATAAAATTAACAAGGCATATATAAATTTATACATATTTAGATACATAATAATTTAAATTTTTCATGTGCTACATTTTGGTCACTAAAAATCTAGTAAACATTTAACTGTAAAACGCCCATAAATGTTAGTTATTGTATTAATGTAGCGTATTAAGTTACAATTAAACACTTGTTATTATATTTTTATAAATACTTTTATGCCATATATCATTTGCAAATTATATATATGCAAAACTTTAATTTTAAAAATTCTTAATTGTTATTACAGTACTTATAACAAATTGTGAATATAGCTAACCATAGTTATTTAGAGTAAATTTAAATAATAAATGCCTATTTTATTAACAAGAACATTTGATATATTTGAATATAAATATCGGTGTGTGTATAAAAAAATATTTGAAAAATTTTAATACCTTTAAGTGTTTGTGAATTAAGTATACTTTTGCAATTTTTATTTTAGTCAATTAGTTTGTTAACATAATTAAATTCCTGTACAACTTTATATTAGGTTTGGAAACTAATAGGGTTTATACATGTCTGTAATTTTATATATTTATGCATAAATAGAAATTATGAATAAAAAGTAAGCAATGAACAAAATCTTGTCCAATAATAGTGTTAATAAAATCCATTGCTTGTGATTATCACCACAAGACTGGTCTTTGTATGCGATCTCAACACTACTTTCTATGCCTTCTCTGACACTTAATTCTCGCAAATAATCGCCGACTCCTATGACACCAATGAATGGGTTGTTGAGTACCACTGATACCATTGGATGTAATGGTGATGTCATCGCAAATAATCTGTTCATCACTACTGAACACATTGTCATCATTGAGATAAACACCATATTTATGGCTATTTTGCGAACTAATTGAAAGCAATTCACAAAATTAATGTTAAAATAAATAAAATATTATATACATTTCTAGTCTAGTAATATATAATTATAATTTATTATATACATTATTTACTCAAAATAGGTAAAGTAAAACTTCATGACTTATAAACTTAAAAAATTAAGTTCAAGTTCATATAAAATGAAATAATTTACTGTATTTGAAATGCTTACCAATCCGTGGGACGTCTGTATTGACTTTGAATGCAATTTTGTTGGCAATGAATACCAGTATAACAAAGAGTATTATTAACGACAGTCCTATTAATCGGTATCTTTTGACAGAGTTTGGGGGGAAAGTGATGGCGACTATGGATATAATGATCGCCACTATTATCGGTGTTGTGATGAAGTAATACAAAAGCGATTGCTTTCGCTGTAAAGTCACCGAATAGACAACTACTGTGAATTGGATATCACTTTCGTATACTTGCACATATCGTTTGCCTAGGTAATAAAATTTTCATTCAAATCATAAAAAAATTTAACTTTTAAAAATAATATTAAAACTCGTGATGTATAAAGTACTTGCTTATGCTCATGATATTAAAAGTATTACCGTTACTATAATTATGATTAAATAGTATTAAAATTTTCATTAATAGTAATAAACATTCATTACTTATAATTATATAGTGATACAACTACTTGCTTGATAATTTAACTACTAAAATAAACATTAATCAAGCTTAGGAAAAAAGTCTACAAAATTATTGTTTAGTTTTAACGTCTCAGACATCACTCCCAAAAACTCATACCTTTAGCTGATATGAATTCCCACTCCGGGTTCACACGTTTCACTCTATTAGCTGCCAAGTAGTCAGCATCAGTGTCATTTATATAATGAAATACATCCACATATTTGTTCATATAATAGGTACCGACAGCCACGTAACACGTGTGCCGATCGGACGGGTAGTCCGTCAGATCAGTCTCGCAGTAACTCCTGAGCTGTGTTTGTGGGTAGTACTCGACCGCACCGGAGGCCACGATATACACAGTCGACGACTTTTGAATGGACCTCGTACTCAATATGTCGGGTCCATTGATCACATGTATGTATGGCATCCATATGATGTCCGACGAGACAACCAGTTGGGTCTGTCCACCAAAGTCCGTGGGATTCCACCGCAAGCCCGCATCCGTCCAAAACTTATGAGATATCAATAGTTTAATGATTTATTTTGCTACCCGGCCTACAGTTTAGTAATATGTAACTAATCCTAACCTATTGTTTATGGGTTAACAAGTTTAGAGGTAACATCTTACCAGTATCTTATCTAGCAGATTTAGTGTATATGATATCAAGTAATTAATAGTATAATTAGCATAAAATACAGACCAAATCCACGATGACTTCGAGGGTTAATATTTGTGTATTAATGTCCTGATAGAAAGAAATGAGTGTTAATTGTGATGTTTTTAACACATTTTAAAGCAATATTGAGAACCAAATCAATAATCTTTAATATATTGAACGTCAGGTTAACATTGACCGCCCGTTTGTCTGGGCCCACCACGGGTGGGATGTGCTTGCTGTAATTTTGCTTGTTAAACAACTGGTTGCGCAAACTTTTTACCGATTCGTAATCATCTTTTTTAGATAAATATAAAGGTTAATTCAAATTAGACGAGTAAAATATCAAACAAAATGTTTAATTGTACCTGCACACGCTGTGGATATTATAAATAAAATTAACAAGGCATATATAAATTTATACATATTTAGACACGAAGTAAATTAATTTTTTTATGTTACAAGTTTGTTAGCTTTTAACTGTGAAACGCCCATACATTGTTAGCTAATGTGTTAAAATAGTGTATTAAGTTACAATTAACAATTACAGTATACTAAATATACAATCATATTAAATAAATATATTTATATTTTTGTACTAGATATAATAATAATACTATAATATAATAATAAGTTATTAAGTTAATAACTTAATAATAACAATTGAGATATTTGATAGCAATATTTGATTTGAAATAAAATTATTTAACATATTAAAAATTAAATTATTATATATCTATATAAAAATAGTATTAATTAATATATTATATAATATATAATTAATTTAATTAATATTTTAAAAATTATATTGAAAATTCAATTCATCCCATTTGAGCAGGGTAACTGTCAACCGCCGGTAACGATACCGGGTCGTAGGACTGGAAGTTCATAGACAGGTTTACAGCACCGGTACGTACAAAGTCGAGGGACGTGCACAGGAGTCCAGTGTTGGCATCGCACTCGAGTAGACTGACATACACAGCTGCATCTACCGGTGCACTGAGGGTTAGTGCCCAGGCCTGGGTTGCAGTGGTCGTGGCATCTGTCATGTCAGGGGTCGTGTATTCTCCCTACATGGTTGAGGTTTAAAAATATTTTCAATATCTCTACCCATTGCTGAATAAATCGTACCTCGCAAAACTTGTGAAAACTAATACATTATAAATTGCAATTTATATGAATTATATTATATTAATTTAATTCAAAAGTCCATAATTTATGCCATATAGAATTTACGATGTAATATATGCAAAACTTTAATTTAAAAAATTAACTGTTAATTACTTATAAAAAAATTTTGTGAATATAAGTAACCAGGTATACTGGTATAGTGTACACTTAAACAATGCATGCCTACTGTATTAACAAGAATATTTGACATATCTAAATATAAATCGTTGACTGAATGTTAATACCGTTCCCTTGAAAAGTAATGTCAAACCCTTGAATTGCGAAACACAGACACAGTATTTAAGTAAAGATTTCAATTGACATTTAAATCCACGCATAAAGCTATACAAAAAAATAATACATGTTTTTGGATTATACTGTATTTGCAACGGGATCATTATTTTTGAAGTAAATATTTCTCATAAATACTACTAAATATGATATAAAAAACTTACTTTAGATACAGTAATACTACTTATTTGTCTCTAAAGACATCCGGGTATATTTATTAATAGTAACTATATGTACTATACATTTGCTTTAAATGTCATTTATAATATCATATTATACAATACAATAACTATATGTATTATATAACTAGCAAAAATCAATTGTCTTAAGTGCCGAAAACGGTGCACACAAAAGTTAATTAATACTTTAATATATTCAAAATGAATATATATATATAAATTACATGAAACTAAACGTTAGAATATTCTGTATCATTAATTATGAATTGTATAAAGAGAATATAGTTTAATAAATACTTGTAAGGTAAGTTTAATACTTATGTTTAATAAACAATATAAAGTAAAAACTTTTATAAGATTATTATGATAAAACAAAGTTTCAGAATATTGTTTTTCGTTTTTTACAAAAATATGTTTTATATTTTAATTTACTTATGAACACATTAAAAGTTTTGAAATAGACCACCTTGTTCATAAAAAAAATATCAGATATGTTTGCAATAAAAAACTACAAACACATATT